GACAGGGTTTCTCCATGTTGGTCAGGCTGTTCTTGAACTCCTGACCTCAGGTGATCCGCCTACCTCAGCCTTCCACAGTGCTGGGATTACAGGCGTGAGCCACCGTGCCAGGCTAGTACTGTATGTATGTATGTATGTATGTATTTTTTATTTCAAGACAGAGTTTCACTCTTATTGCCCAGGCTGGAGTGCAATGGTGGGATCTTGGCTCACTGCAACCTCTACCTGCTGGGTTCAAGTAATTCTCCTGCCTCATCCTCCTGAGTAGCTGGGATTACAGGCGCCCGCCACCACACCCAGCTAATTTTTTAGTATTTTTAGTAGAGACGGGTATTCATCATGTTGGCCAGGCTGGTCTTGAACTCCTGACCTCAGGTGATCCACCCACCTCGGCCTCCCAAAGTAGTGGGATTATAGGCATAAGCCACAGTGCCTGGCTATTTATTTTTTTTGATACAGAGTTTCGCTCTTGTTGCCCAGGCTGGAGTGAAATGGTGCAACCTCTGCCTCCTGGGTTCAAGCGACTCTCCTGCCTCAGCCTCCCAGGTAGCTGGGATTACAGGCATGCACGACAGCACCCAGCTCATTTTGTAATTTTAGTAGAGACGGGGTTTCACCATGTTGGCCAGGCTGGTCTCAAACTCCTGACCTCAGGTGATCTGCTGGCCTCAGCTTCCCAAAGTGCTGGGATTACAGGCATGAGCCACCGTGCCTAGCTATTTATTTTTTTGATACGGAGTCTCGCTCTGTCACCCAGGCTGGAGTGAAATGTTGAGATCTTGGCTCCCTGCAACCTCTGCCTCCTGAGTTCAAGTGATCCTCCTGCCTCAGCCTCCCGGGTAGCTGGGATTACAGGCATGCACTACAATGCCCAGCTCATTTTGTAATTTTAGTAGAGACGGGGTTTCACCATGTTGGTCAGTCTAGTCTTGAACTCTTGACCTCAGGTGATCTGCCCACCTGGGCCTCCCAAAATGCTGGGATTATTTACTTTTTTCAAAAAAAAATGCACCAAAACATTTATTCAAGATAATATGGGGGACTTTACTTCCAGACAATATTACTCTGTGTGGGATTAACTTCAAAATAGAATGAGATAAGGACATAGGTAGACATACAGATTGGCAGTGAGTGGACAACCACTGATGTTTAATGAGCAGCCAGGAGTTGCTAATTGCTGACTCTGGGGGATGGGTACATGGATATTTTACTATTTGATTATTCTCTCTAATTTTGCATGTATTTGGAATTCTCCATAATATGAAGCTAAAGATGAGTAAATCACATGTGCCATCCCCCTGCTACTTTATAAGTATAGACAATCACTCCTACAGTCCACACAGGCCAGCTCCCCGCCTTTAGGGCTAGAAAAGTGTAAGATGCAGCTACGCATAGCTGGAGGGGTTCCCCAGGCAGGTTCAGATTTGGAGACAACTGAAGCAAACCCTCTGTGAACACACACACATACATGAGGAGTCCCACCCACCAACCCCAGTGTAGCCCCCTCCCTGGCTCGTACCCCTCTTCTCTGCGAAGAGCAGCAGCAGGCAGGTGAGACCTTTGAGCACTTCTGCCATGACCACAGCAGTGGTGGCAAAGAAGCGGTCCCCAGGCAACGTGCGGGCGTAGCGGATGCTGAGGATGAGGGAGGCATTCTGGACCACCAGCACGGCTAGGGATATGTACTTCAGGCGCCTGTGAGCTGTGGGGAACGGAAGGAGCAAGCGGTAAGGGAGGGGTCAGAAGCCACTGGGGCATAGTCACACCACCACCCACCCTCTCTCCTTTCTCACCCAGGACCCTCCTAGCCACTGCTACTTGCTCCCTTAGCCTGCGTGCCCTCACCCAATGAAGGTCTGAACACTAACAGCTTACTGCCTTAGCCATGAGCAGGAAGAGCCAGAAGGGAGAAATGGGCCCCACCCTGTCCAGTCCATACCTGGAACCCTTACCGAGGTGTCAGGAAATGGCTGAGGCAAACCCTGGCCATGTGCCTCGGCTCCCTCCCAAGTGAGAAGCAACTCTTCCCCGGGCAGAATACTGACAACTACATTCTCCACGTTTATTGTTTATGTGTGCCTATCACTGGGTTAAGGGATTTCTATGGATTACTTCAACAGACTCTCATATCCTTCTCATCTCTAACTGCAAGGATTCCCATTTTATGGATGAGCAAACTGAGGATTTATATGAAATGATGCTCCTATTTAACGAGGGACTGGCCCATGTAAAGAATAAATCAGTGCAGAGAATGATGCCACTGTATGAGGTATGTTCACCCCCTAAGGACTGGTCTTTCTCATCTAAGAAATATTCGATTCCCGGCAACCAACAGAATGGGAAAAAATTTTTGCAGTTTACCCATCTGACAAAGGGCTGATATCCAGAATTTACAAAGAACTAAAACAGATTTACAAGAAAAAACTAACAAGCCCATTCAAAAGTGGACAAAGGATATGAACAGATACTTTACAAAAGAAGACATACATGAGGCCAACAAACATATGAAAAAATGCTCATCATCACTGGT